CCCACTCCCCCCCCCATCGTGCCACCCCCAGCGGGGCCTCACCCATCAGGGAAGAAGCTGTCTATAATACGGTCTCCCAGGGGATTCACTGCCAGCGCCCCGATCTGCTGCAGATCCATGCGGCTGCAAGGTCAAAAGTCAGAGCCCATAGGACTGTCAAAGAGGGGGCGGGTGTCCGAGAGACGGAGGCGGAAGGTCGTCAGGCCGGCTGCCCTCACCTCAGGTAGCCCTTTTTGCTCCTGTCCAGAGCCTGGAACCGGTGGTAGAGCCGGAGCAGACAGGCCTGAGAGACTGCGGGACAGAACCGGGAAGGTAACGACCGGCTGCAACGCCCAGACGCTGCTGGACCTGACAGCGGTGCCGCGCTCCAGAAACCGGCTTGGGACAGCCGGGCGAGGGGGGCTCGCTGGAGGGGTCCCCATCTCGGAGATCTGGAGCGGAGCGGGCGGGCATGCAGGGAGAGGGACAAGACCCAGCGAAGCGACAGGTTCGCGACCAGGGAGGCTCGCAGCGTCCCGGCACTCCCCTCCCGGAAGCCAAGGGACTCCTCTCTGCGGTCATTTGCCTTCAGCCGCGATCCGGGCTCAAGGACACCTGGGTGCCTCTATTAAACTGGCCCCAACCCTGTGAACTCGGACACCCCTCAACCTTGGACGCGGGAACCCCTGTGCTAACACGTCCCCTGGCTCTTCGAGCCCAGATTCTTGGGTCTTGATCTTCCCGCTCCAGGGGTCCGAATCCCGGGACCGGCAGGTTCTTCTATCCCTCAACCCACTCCTCCTCTCCGCACGATGCTTTAAACCTCCCCGGGCCCCCAGTTTCCAGCCCCCAGACGCCCGGCTTTGCTAAGCACCCCTCCGCAGCCAGCGGAGCCGCGGGCACTCACAGCCGGTCTCTTGCCGAATCGTGTCCACCTCGGGAATGATCGCGGCGTGGGAACTGCGTGAACCCATCGCGGAGCGGGCGCCAGATCAGCCCCGCCGGACCCAGGCGTTCTCTGCTCTGTCTGACGAGGCGTGGCCGACCCGGTGACCCCGGGGCCAAAGGCAGCAGGCCTGGCCTGCAGCCAGGCTGGAGAACTCCGGCGTTCCTCGCCTCCCACCCTCGACCCGGGCGAACAGAAAACAATGCTCGGGGTGGCGGGTCAGAGGGTCGAGTACGAACAACGGGTTATTTCAGCCAGGAGATTGTGGGGTTGGCGCGGGCACAGGCTGGGCGAGGCCGGTGCCCCGCCGGCCCGCACCTCCCTCGGGTCTGCATTCTCACCGCCGCCTCAAACACCCTCCTGCAGGGCCTCCCAGCTCAGAGGCTCTCCCTGCTGTCAACGTGCAGTGAGGACCCGTGGCCCGACTTTCTCCCTTGGGAGCAGGGTCTGAGTCCTGCTGGGAAGCGGGCAGCAAACAGAGGGGAAGAGAAGCAGGTGCATTCGTAGGCATCCCACAGGGCGCCTGTCTCTGGGCAGGAAGAGAGAGACCCCAAGGCCTTCCAAAGAGAGGTGGAGTGGGGAGGGGTCGCGAGGTGGAGAAGGGGCACTGGGTTCACGGGAAAGAACACCGGACTTGAAGGACTTCAGTCAGAATACCAGCCATATTACTCACTGCGCACAAGCCAGGATATGCCTTGGGCCCATCGCTTTTGTTTGGTCTACATAGCATGATAGTTGCCTACTTCAGCCAGTGCCTAAAACTCAGAAGATATAACCAAAAGCCAGATTCCTAACTTCTGAGAAATTAGCCACTTTGACACCAGGAGGCCTAGGGACTGACCATTTACCACTCAGCCCAACTCATTCCTGCCTATACCGGGTGGGCCCACAGAGCTCTAGGCTGGGCCCACAGAGCTCTTTAGACCTCTGACCAGCCCCCAGCATCTTGTTGGAAACAGACATCACTGTGACCAGGCTTGAAATAATACTGAGGACCCCAAGGACTCCCATTTGTTGAGTTTGAGCACTTCCTAAGTCCCACCAGCGTCAGGGCTTGCTTCTCTTTCTCTCCCTATGTGCTAAACTGCATTTTTGCTTTTATGTAATGGAGGTTACCCAAGGACTTGGCTGCGAACTACATAAAACAAACAAACAAAAACAAAACATCAAGAAGCAACCCAGTACTTTCTTTTAATGTAAAAAGCACAGATACAATACATAAAGACATGAATGGTAGAGCTGCGATATTAAAATTTTGTGGGGGCAGGATGATTGGGGGGAAAATGTCCAAAATGATTCCTTGGAGGGGTTCATAATGAAAACAAAGTTGAGAAACTTGGTTGTAAAGGAACAACCCCAATAGGTTTTGAAACTCTCTACTCCCCCTTCCCCCATCATAATCACACCTATGCACACATTTTCTGGGGGAACTATTCAAGAGGTTCATTACAAGGGTTCAAGTTTGTATCTACCCTGGAGAGAGGGAAGCTGGAGAAACAATCTATCTTCCAGCCCCAGGCAGAAGCTGGCATCAGATGAGTCTTGAAAATATTGATTTAAGAAGGGCTTGCTTCTCTTTCAGATACTCCAAGGATTAAACAACTGACATAAGGAATGCTTCCTTCCCTTTCAGACACCCCAAGGACTAAAGCATGCGGGGAAACCACACTCCTCCCTAATGAAGCTCAGCAATCACTCCAGCCCCTAGCTGAGTTAGGCTGTGAGTGTAGCTGGGGTTGGATTGTGAACCCAGGAGGGGACGAGAGACCCTGGGATGCAGCAATAATCACCTTAGGCCAGTTTGGGATGCTGATCTTGGAAAGGGCTTTACTAGCCTTGATCTCTGAGTGAGCACTGCACCAGAGTAAATTAGGTCAGAGTAATTAAGAACCCCAGGCACACAGCATACATAAGCCTTGGTGCCTTCAGGAGGGAAAAAAACCTGCTTCATGTATGCAAGTGATGTTTAAATCAACTTACACATGGTTACATGTGTACTGTAAGGTGCTTTGGGCAGGGGGGGACGTTTATCCGCAGAATCAGTCAGACTAGATTCAGGCTGAACATCTGTGTTTTGTTTTTATGCTACCTAAAAGTTATCAGCTGGGCCACGAAGCAGCACAGCAGTAATGCAACTGAATCCACATGGGAAAGGTCCCAAGTTTGCATCCCAGGACTTCCCTGAGCATCCGAGGCCCATGCAAGCATGCCTGCAATCTAGACTGGCTGGCTGAGACTAGGGGTGGGTCAGAGCATGATGATCCTGTTGGGGATGCCTGTCTCTATCTCTCTTTCTCTCAGTCGCTCTCTGTCTCTTTAGCGACAGAAGTTAAGAAGTTGTTAGCAATCTTTATGAAGTTTCAACATGAAAACAACAATAATCAGGAAAATATAGAACTCTCACTGCTCTATAATTAAAAGATAAATGACTTAATTTTTTTTCAAGAGAGATTTTTGGTATAGCATGCATGCACTCATCAGAGAGACAAACAGAAAGCAAGAAATCATCCCCCGGGGGGATGGCCATGCCACAATCTCTTTGCCTCCATTCTCCTCTTGGAGAATGCACACTTGGAGAATGGACGCACGGACATGCGCCCGGTGTGAGTTTTAAGCTGCCAGGTCCAGGACTTAAACTGCCGTCGACTACATGGGAGTCCAGCAATGTAACCATGAGGTCTTCTGCCGGTCCCATGACTCAGTTTTTTAAATGGACAGAGGACTTGAACAGACATTTCTGTAAAGAACATATATAAGTGACCAAAAACTACAAGACAAGATTCTCTAGGCCTGCCCCATAATGCAATGCTCAAGTTCTGTGCAGGGGAAGCCATATTCCACAAGCCTGACCAGGGTTCAAGTCCTGGCCCTGGCAGCTTGAAAAACATGCAGGTGCACATATTTCCCTGATTCTGATGGGATGGAGAATTGGGGGTATAAAACAATTGTGGCATGACCAGGCAACACTGAGAGGAGTGATTTCTCTATTAATTATCTGTCTTTCTCTCATGTGTGCACACAGCCTCTGGCTTCAAATTATATCCAAACAATGGAATATATTTGGCCATAAAACATAATGAAGTACTAACATCATTAGTCATCCAGGAAATACAAATCAAACCATAATGAGCTACCACTTCCCACCCACAAGAATGGCTAGAATTAAAACAAACAAACATGGTGCCAAACACAGCACAGCAGTAAATCACGATGCTTTGTAAAACTGAGCCACGTGGGAAGGCTCCAAGTTCACATCCAGAGGTTTCCCTGAGTATCAGGCATGCATATACCTAGGATACAGGGCTGGCTGAGGCTGAGGGGTGGGTCATGGAATCAAGACTCTGTTCAGGGTGTGCTCACTCTCTCTCTCTCTTACTCAGGGAAGAAATAAACTTAACGAACAAAAGCAAGCAAAAATAACATCTTGGTGAGGATATGGAGAAATTAGAATCTTCACACATTGCTGGTAGAAGTGGTGGCGCAGCTGCTGTGCAAAATAGTTTGAAGATTTCTCAATAAGCTGAACAAGATTGCCCTATGACCCAGAAATTACACTCCTAGGTGGAGTGGAAAGAGTTGACAACAGATGTTCACAAATGAACAAACAAAATCCTATAGCCAACATTATTTACAATAACCAAAAGGTGGAAACAACTCAAATGTCTATCAATTGATGAATGGATAAACAAAATGTGGTAGATCCAGACAATGGCATATATTTGGCCATAAAACATAAAGAAGCACTGATATATTCCACATATGAATGCACCTTGAAAACACAATATTGAGAAAAATAAGCAAGTCACAAGAGACTACATATTATGATTCCATTCACTTGCAATATGAAGATTAGGCAAACCTAGAGAGATAAAGCATATTAGGTGGTTGCTGAGGGCTGGGAGAGGTAGGCAGGAAGGGGGGAGGGGGTGATATCTTCTGAGATGTTCAAAAAAAATGTTCCAAAATTGACCATAGCAATCAATGAATACACAAAAATCTGTTAATTGCACCCTTTAAATGGGCAAGTTTTTTGGTAGGTGAATTGTATCTCAATAAAACTTGTCTTTTTTTTTTAAGTCAGGAAAATTCTGGAATATAAAAGTAATGAGAATGAATTGAATCTAACATATTTTAAAATGTAGTATAAATCTACAATGAACTATTTTGTAATGGTGCAGTAAAAAGAAACAGACAAAAAGTCAGAAATAGACTCAAATACATATGGGAATTTGACATGTGATAAAAGTGACATTTCAAATCAGTGGGGGAAATGTAGATTATTCAAAAAATGTCATTCAGGACATCTGTCTTTTGGGGGAAAAATAAAGCTGTACCCCTACCTTCTTATACCAAAATAAACTCCAGATAGAATAAAATTTAAATGCAAAATGAAACTATGTATTACTAGAAAAAAATCATGAGTAGATTTTGTTATAATCATAAACAGGATAAAGCCTTTCTAAACATAAAATGAAGCACAGAAATCATAAATGAAAGATTGACATATTTGACTTTTTTTTCAGTGTTTGGTTTTGTACGTAGTTTTTTTCTTTATTATTGTTATTATTTATACATTCAATCGCTATACATCATTTAGATTTTAAAGAGACTTTACCCAGCATGATATACACCTCAGTTCAGCCCAGTTGCAAATACTATACACATCCTCATCAACTGATAATAAACCCTATCTGTGTCCCACAAATGTATTACTTCTCTATTTTTCCCCAAATTTCCTTTTCTACATTCTTTTCCTCCCACACTTTCCTTCCACTTTCTCTCTAATGTCCATGACTCTTTCCACTTTGTCTCTAGTGTCCATAACAATTTTTAATGCTTTTATGTCCTCCAGACTTTCAGTCTCTATAGAGCGCAGTCGGTATATGTTAAGTGGAGACGAACAATGTCTCTTTTTCATAGCCTGACTTGCTTCACTCAGCAACAAAACTTACATATTTGTCCACTTTCTATAAAATTTCAGGGCTTTGTTGTTTTTTATGGCTGTATAGTATTCTATGGAGTATATGTGCCACACTTTTTCAATCCACTTATCTGGTTCTGGACATT